TTCCACACTCAGTTGGGTCACCTTTCTTTGGAATGGGAACAAATATAGATCTCTTCCAGTCAGTTGGCCAAGAGGTTGTTCTCCAGATTTCTTGGCACAACTTGGTGATCACATCCAGGGCAACATCTGTTATCTGAAATACTTCAATTGGTGTACCATCTATTGAAGGAAATAGCAAAATCCCCAGACGTACATGGTTCAAATCCACCAGATGCTCTGCTGAAGAAAGGGGAACAATCGCCTCCTGTCAGATCTGATTTGATGGTACACACATAAAAAATAATAATTGAAAAAAACTTTAAAAAGCATAAATATTTAAATGATTCTTTTAAGGCAAATGCTGAGCTCCTAACTATACAGTAGCATTTTTAGGTACACATATTCTTTGCTACACATAGATCCCAAACTTAGCATTTTATTACGGAAGAAATGCAAAAGGAAGATAGAGAAACAAACAGAACAGAGCAAGGACAGAAACAAGGATGTGGTCCTAGCTATATAGCTCTGAGTACATCTCATACCACAGAGCTAGTGCTAGCTTGGGGCAGGGAACAAGCCTTACAGCCAGGGCATGATGTTCTAGCCGGGTGAGCAACGTGACACTAATAGCATCATCTACAGTAAGTACACTGATGGGACTGAACCTGTAGGAGAAGGTGTCGTACCATTGCCCTTATCAAACACATAACAACCTTGTGCCTCTCACATGACTACCTTAGATATCAGTTTCCTTGTCTGTAAACTGGAGATGGACACACTGGTTTAGATGACCCCTATATTTTCAAGTCTGAAATGCAATGATATCAAGAAGGAAAGGAAGGGGCTTACTAAGGAATGCTTTCACTACGCATGGAAATTAGTTCATTAAATGTCAATGTGCCCTTAAAATGACAACTCCATTAAAAACTTGTCTCACCTAGAATGACTAGATACACAGGCAAGTCTAAGAAGATGAGCAGTAAAGTTACCCTGAAGGTGTATGGCCTAAAAAAAGGAAGACCAGGCTCTGTCCTTAAACAAAGTGCTTTTATGGCAGTTTACCTCAAGGGAGCATTAATGCAACCAGGCAGCCTCATTTAACTAACTGCTGAATCACAGTGAATTAGAGGCAGGAGGCTCAAGTAAAGCTCAAGCCAGCAGCTGTCCTTGTAAAATAGTACAATCTCTATCAAGAGCAGTTTAGCAAAAATCTACCAAAATTATAAACATATTTACTTGCTGTCCTCACAGCCTTCCTGCTGGGATTTTTTTTTCTACAGACATAGCTGTACCTAAAATGATGTTTACACAAATTTATTCATTACACCACCTTTTTAAAATGGCCGAAGACTAGAAAAAAACTCAAGGTTCCATCAACAAAGAGCTAGCTTAAAAAAAAAAACCCAAAAGATTATGGTGCTATCCACGCAATACAATACTGTGCAGTCCAACAATTCTATACTGCTATAGAAAGCTCTTCAGTATGTATTTTTGTACATGAAGAAGCAAGGAGATTAGCACTGTTATGACAGAATAGCATATCTCTTATAAACATGCCCTTGTATATAACACCATTATGCTCCACTTGGGTAATACCATTATATTCAAGGGTACGCCTACATATCTGGAAGTAGATTTTCGTGTGTCTGGAAGAACAGAAAAGAAACTTAGATAAGTGTTTACCTGTAGGAAGTGATGGGGGGGAATTAGAATGGACAAAGACATATGTGGGAATGAGAATTCTCAGCAGATCTTTTTTCTAAGGGAGCTGTGCTGTCAATCTAAGGCCAGCTGGTTTGAGTCGGCCAGCTGCTCCATGGGAGAAAGATGGAACTTCTCCTCCTCTGTGATTTACAGCCTCTGAAAAGCCACTGGATGGTCAGCTCTGAGTCAGTTCTGACTCAATGACTATGACTGAGTAAACTTTTTCTCATTTTTCTGCATTTTTTTTCAACCACAATGGGCTATTCTGTAAAGAAAATTAAGGATCTTTTTAATTAAAAAATATTTTAGAGCCAGACATCAAAGATAGTAACTTCAATATCCATCGTTTCAAGCTTTTGCTCATGGTTTGGCAAATTGCAGCCTGTGAGTTAAATTTGCATGCTGCCTGCTTTTAGAAATAAAGTTTCACTGGTACATAGCCTCTTCTTTTTATGTATGTATTGTCTGTGGATCTTTTACATCACAATGGTAGAGGTAAGTGGTTGCAATAAAAGAAAATGCTGAAAATATTTACCATCTGGCCCTTTACAGAAACATTTGCCAATTCCAGATTTTTTTCTTTTTATTTGAATAAAATTTTTAGTATATACTGGTTTACTTACAAAGTTTGAATACTTTTTTTCACACCATATCATTTCCATTTCCTTTACTCATCCCTCCCTCCACCTATCAAATTGTGTGACCCTATGATTAACCACCCATCTACCCCCATCCTCACCCCTCTGCTCCTTCCCTCCCCACCTTGGATCCTCATGCACATTCTACAATAATGGTCTTATACAGTATTTGTCCTTATGGGACTTAGTTCACATAAGCATAATGCTCTTCAGTCCCGCCCAAGTTTGGCAGTGATTTACAAAATTATTGTTCCTGTGTGCTGTGTTGTATTCCATCATATGAATGTATCATAATTTCTTAATCCATTCGATTGTACCAACTCCAGATATAAACTGTGCATTTGTTCAGAAAACAGCTGTGACTATACCGGTTAGTGAGTTGCTCATATTGAGGGTGGTTTGGCTCCTGTGATCTGTGTCCACAAATAGGTGACAACCACAAGTACTGTATCAGTTGAGAAGGGCATGGACCCTGGATTCAGATGGCTCAGGTTTAAACATTGAACTTTGTCGCGCACGAATAGTTAGCTATGGTCAACTCAGCTTCTTTAGCTTCTTAATCTTAAAACATGGACAATAATAAAACCTCCCTCTAAGAATTGTTTGGAAGATTAATTGTGTTAATTCTAACAGAGCTTCACCCAATAGCTGTTGGTTATTATTCTAATCTAATATGATGTTTTGTTTTGTTTTGTTTTGCTTTTTAAATAACCAGGGTGATGACCAGCTAAATGTATTTGGAGAGGACAATATAGGAGGTAAGTTTTCTTTACTGGCTCAGTACAAATTTGTCATTTCAGTAGCTTTGAGCACTTTTTAAAAAAATTAAAAACCAACTAAAAGATGATAATATCACAGCACAACATACTTTATTCTTAGTAATTAAGAACTCCTCAGATCTTTCCTTTAACAACTCTACCCACTTATTTCTGAAATATTAAGTAACAAGGCAGTGCTCTGGTCACATGGGTTTGGAAAAACATCTAACATTTCCACCCTCTATAGAAGATTCTGTTGCAAGGAGGAACCAGTCCTTGGAGAGAGATGTCATGCTTGAAAGAGTAGAGGGACAGCACAGAAGAGGAAGACCCTCGTTGAGATGGATTGATTCAGTGACTGACGTAGTGGGGGTACATGTGTCAGAGACAATAAGATTGGCACAGGATAGAGCAGGGTTTAGGTCTGTTGTACATAGAGTCACTGTGAGTCACAGGTGACTTGACTGCACATAACAACAACAACAACATAGAAGATTCATGTAAGTAAGCACATTCAGCAGGCTTAATGAAGTGGTTTGGAGAGCTGTTTAACTTTCATTCAGCATTCTTCAAATTTATTAGATCACAAAACTCTTTTCCTGCAAAGTTGTTACAAGTATACAGCAGTCATACATATAAAATTGGAGCACAAATCATCCCAGAAACATCAGAATTATGCTGCTTTGGAAATTTGCTCTGTTAAAGGTCTGGCAAAAATTTTTACAATAAATAAAGTTATATAAATAACTGAAAATAGATGAGATTATGTGAATAGAGGTTGTACAGTTGCCATAGGCACTTTGACGTATGTGCTTTGTAACATTAACTCTCTGAAATAATGTTCTAGTTACGCTCCACAGAGATGTATTTGTGGAATTGACTAAGAGCCCATACAGTTGAGTGAGTAGGCTTTTAAAATAACCCCACCTCTAATCCTGCATTGATCCATGAGTCTGAGGTGGTAGATAAATTATTGTTTGATGTTAATGGCAATAGCAGGAGGTGGAAATCACAGTCACCGAATGACATCATGGTGATTCATGGGCAGTGGCACACAAACATGAGCCTTGACTTAGCTGCCACTTAGCCAAGTGCAAATAATCACCACAGACCCAACTCTTTAAGGGATTATTGGCTGCTTAACACAGGTTCCTTCTTCCTGTTTATAGAATTAGCCCATATTCTTGTGGAAATATTTTTAAAGTAGAAAGTAAAGACTATCTCAAACCCTACAACCTATAAAGCATAATTCATATTCTAGGATATTTACTCCAGTGAATTCTTCATGTGTTTCTACATGGTTGAAAAATACATGAATATATGAAATTGTTTTCAAATTTTTGTGCATATTCCAACATAAGCGTGTTCTCACATCATTAAAAATTCTCTGCAGACTTAATTTTCACAAAATTTTATTAGTGTAGTATCATTAATGTTTTTAAGCCACCTTTTAAAACAAGAATGGAATCTAATCATCACAAAATAATAATAACCATGACTACCTTACGAGATTGAACTCAGAACTCAACTCACTGTTGTTGAGTCAGAACTAATTCATATCTGACCCCCCAGTGATTTTTCAGAGGCTGTAAATCACATGGGAGGAGACTTTCCATCTTTCTCCCATGTTGTCACTAGTGAATTTAAACCACCAGACAGGCACTGGCTTTGGTTTAGCAGTACTCATTCCTACCAGCTATACCACCAGAGCTCCCTTACTAAACTGTAAGCAGATGGAACATTGCTGACCCTCATGAAAGGAAACTTTCACACTAGGGAATGGGCAATGACCCTCTAGTCCCACAGGTCAGGAATGTCAATGTAGTCTACATTTACCAGAAACTTCTAGATAACATTAAGAACTATCTATAGACTTAATTTTAATGAAATTTTATTAATGTAATATCATTAATGGTTTTTAAACTATCTTTTTAAAACAAGAATGGGACATAATCATCACAAAATAATATCATGACTACTTTACTAGATTGAACTCAGAACTCAGCTCACTGTTGTCGAGTCAGAACTTCTCGGGAGCCTCCTTGCCACCATGAGCTAGTGTTTAATGGGAATGAAACATCAGTTTGGTTAAAATTATTTAGGAAATTGTGGGGGTAAGACTGAGAAAAACTGGATGAAATATGTTTACGGCATTGAAATCTATGGGAGAGAGAATAGTCTAAAAGTATTATATTTTAGGGCATTATTTTTATCGTAGGAGTATGCAATGAGGGTTGTAGAGTGGATTATATTTGGGGCTAGGGGGTGGGGTTTGGGGAGGTGCGGGGGGGGGATTGTGTACCAATGAGGGAGTTTTTTTTTTGCTTTAGCAAATGGGGGGGGAGGGGGGGAGGGGTTTGTGCGGGGAGAAGGGTGCAACAAAGAATGAATGGAATCCCAAAATCTCTGTAGATGTTCATTGAAATGAAAAATAAACAACCTAAATTTAAAAAAAATTATTTAGGAAATTCTATGTGAAAGATACCAAACTTCTCTTTCATCCCAATTTCTGCTTCTTCATGACCAGTTTTTTCTCTTTGTTCAGTTGAGCCTTTCACTATGCTATGAGTGAATTCATGCAAGAATGATGCACTCTGTGACCATCTCCAATTTCAACTAAGAAATCATCAAAATAATTATTTAACTTTCCAAAGTAGTTAGCATCTACATAAAATATGTAGTGTGAGTCACAGTTCTATTAGTTTAAGTGAAAAATTTGCAAGTTTATCACCAAGATGGAATATTGAAACCATCTACTACCTCATCCAAGTCATCACACCCACCTAGCATTTAAGTCAACTCACACTTGTAGAATGACCAAAAGCAGCTGCTTTCACAACAGAAAAACCACCCAGTGATCCATCTAGACTAGGAACTCGGGGAATGACTCACCCAGCTCTGTTTCTCCCTTCTAGTGTCCTTCCATTTAGAAAGCTCTGTAGAGAACCTCAGAGCAGCCCAGTGCAGGCAGTGCACTACCCAACAGTGCAAGTTTCTAACATAAAACACCAAATACCTTTGCATTCTAAAGTTTTTGCTTTGAAAGTTCATACAGAATTTCTCCCAACATCATAAAATGATCATATTTATTCAATCTATTATGAAAGTTTAAATGTATCTCACTTAATTGAGAACTAGTCTCTTACATACTAGAACCTACTGCTTAAGCTTTCCACCACTCTCAGATACTTGGGACGGCTTGCTAGATGAGAGCAGCACTTCCTTGTATGGCTTCCAGATATTCCAACTGGAAACATCACAGATCCTAAACAGATCCTAAACTAGCTTGCAACTGCACTCTTCATGTTCCCAAAACTACTTCTAGTGCAAAAGCCTGATTCCTGCCCAGTTGAGTCAGGGGCATGCTAATAGCTGGTTGATACTTGAGTGCATATAAGAAGATCCTCAGAAGTAGAAAACCTATAACTTCATAACAAGAATGATTGACTCAGATTTATGTAGACTGTTGTTTCTCCTGTCTCTAGAGCTCTCTCAAAATTTTTGTTTGTTTGTTTGTACGGCATTAGGGCTTAGTTTGATGATCCTCTGCTTTTGGATTTAAGCAGTAACCACTGGCATTTTACAGATCCTGAGCTCACAGAGTCATTGACAGCCTAAGTTTCGTCTCTATTCATCCCTCCAGAGGGAGCTCTGGTGGCATAGTGGGTGAAGAGTTGCACTGATAAACCAAAAGGTGGAACCCATTGCAATCCACCACCTGCTCTGAGGGAGAAAGACGGACGATCTTCTATGCAATTTTTTAAAACCCACTGAAGCGTCAGCTTCAAGTTGGTTCTGACTTGACAGCAATGAGTTGAGACATCCCTTCACCTCCAGGGCTCTTAAAATTACGGTTTCCTTAGGAATTTATCTGACACATGAAAGAGTTAATGGTATCATAAATTTGGCCAAGGAACAAAGAGCCAATTCTTCCTGTGGACTCATTTATTAATTGGAACCACAGAATTATAGGTATTTGACTTGAGAGACATTAGAGATCATTGCGTCCAAATAGTTAATTTCAAAAAATGGAGAAACTGGAGTCACTTACCTAAAGGAAGCCAGTTGATAAGAGGATCATAAATACTACTGTTTTCTACCCACTCTTCAAGGTTTCCTTCCACACTGAACGGCAATTGGAAATCACTCAGGGTACCACAAACACAGAGGGGTTTGCACTTTGCCTAAAATTCCTGACATAAATCATTGTTTTGCCTTAAAAAAAATATGGTTCCCAAAATTCCATCTTTGTTAGACACCTTCATGATTGGATAAGGAGTTATGCTGTCAAGCCAAAGGCCAGAGATTCTAATCCACCAGATGTTCGGAGGGAAAAAAACTGGGCAGTCTCCTCCTCAGTAATTTACAGCATCTGAAAACCCACTGTAGGGTCAGCTACAGGTTAGCTCTAATTTAGTGACAATAAGTTTAAGTATTTTTAATTTTTTGTACTACCTGTATATATATATTATTTCTTTACATTGACTCACTGATTTTACTTTTATTTTACATTTGTTTTAAAGGAAATATTAAATTATCAACTTCAGTAGGAAATGCATAGCATCATCTGCTGTAAATAGAAATTATTAAGAAAATATATTCTCTTCCATGCTCTCTACTTGGTTTTAAATAGTCCATTTCAATGAGGAAGATTAGTAAAGGTTAAATATATGAAATAATAAAGTACAGAACAGAATTTTAAATTCTCATAGACTCTAGACTTCCTGGAGCCGTGAAGATTGGATGAAGTCCAGCAACTATTGCCCTTAGATAGTCTTTAAACCTTAAACCAAAAATATCCCTGAATTCTCCTTAAAACCAAACAATTGTTTAGCTTAACTATTAAGAAAAGATCTACTGTGGGAATTAGGCTCTTTTAAAAACTACCTACAGGCACACATCCAAGATACTGTGGGTGTCTACATATAAACCACCAAAATAAAATGAGTCACATAATTTTTTTCAGAACATATAAGTGTTATATTATACAAAGCAAACACAATAGACTATGGTAGTCTATTAAGTGTGTAATAGGGTTACAAATAAGTTTTAAGTATTTTAAGAATTACCTAAATCTAATACAGAGACATAAAGTGGGGGAAATGGTGCCAATAATCTTAATCAATGCAGGGTTGCCAATAACATTTTATTTGTTAATAAAAAAAGAAAATCACTATTATCTATGATGCATAATAAAATAAAGTATGTGTCTCTGGTTATAGGGTCTAATTGACAACAGCAGCTTGAAAGATCAGATATAAACCTTAATGGACAGTTCATTTATGTTAAAAAAGGAGAGACAGTCCAGAAAATTAGGATGAGAATGGTTGTACTATTCAAAGAATGTGATCAGTGTCACAAAATGTTACCTATAAAAACTACCAAATTGATGAGCATTTTACCGTGTAGGATCTCAATAATAAGAGTGAAATAAGGAAAATTTTTAAAGAAATCTGAAGTAACACATTGAGACACTTAAGAAAATGAAAAATTCTTTTAAAAATTAGCTTTCTTACTTTGTGAATCATATTGTTTAATGATTTATCAGTTTTACTACCTAAAAGTGATGTTCTTATTGTTATATGCCATCAAATCCCTTGTGGCTCATATCAACCCTATGTACAACAGCTTTGAACCCTGCTCTACCCTGAGCCAACCTTATTGTCTCTGACACACCCACTATCATTACCCCAGTCACTGGATCAATCCATCTCATCGAGGGTCTTCCTCTTTTGCACTGTCCCTCCACCCTCCCAAGCATAATGTCCCTCAGCAAGGACTAGTCCCTCCTTGCAACATGCCCTAAATATGTCAGCTTCAGAATCCTTGCCTCCAGGGAGCATCCTGGTCTCACCCTCTCTAGGACTAACTTGTTTGTTCTCTCAGCAGTCCACGGTGTATATTCAATACTCCTCCAGCACCACTGCTCAAAGGCATCAATTCTCCTTTAGTCGTCCCAAGTGATTGTGCAGCTTTCTGATGCATAGCAAGTAATTGTGAAGACTACTCTGTGTTATAATGAAAATAAATTCTCTCTGCCTGGAAATATGAGTAACCTTGGCAGTACACTGGGTGCAGAGCTGTGCTACTAAATAAAAGGTTGGCAGTTTGAGCCCACCAGATTTGAGACAGTTAGCTTCCATAAAGATTAAAAACAAAAACTTAAAGTCACTACCATTGAGTCAGTTTCAACTCCCAGTGTGCCTCCATTGGGCTTCTGAGACCACACATTTTTCTCCCATGGAGCATGTGGTGAGCTGGAATACACAATGCAGCCTTTGGCTAACATCATAATCCCCACAGGCTATGCCACCAAAGGCTATGAAGCTGTTCGACTCTGTCCTGTGGGGTCGCTTTGAGTCAGGATTGACTCAGCGGCAGTGAGGGTCTGGAAATACAAACAGTCTGCAGGAAGGTCGGTTAGAACATTTACTCAAATTCAGGCTTCTTACCAAGTGAAAATACAAGATCTGGGTTTATACATAGGGAAAACGAGGGTTTTAGTGAAGTCTTTCTTGCCAATAACTTTAAATTATTCTTATTTTAAAGGTTTTATGGAAGACTTGAGGAAGTGTAAAATTATTTTCATAATTGGTGAGTAACAATCCTCTAATTTTCTAATGTAACTGCTAATAATAACTTCGGGGGGGGGAGTCTATCATTCTGTTTTGTAGATTCCTCCCCCCAACCCCATTTTGGTCAGATTAATACTCCCTAAGCTTCTAGATGGTAGCTTTTATTTATACAGTGTTACATCACTTCTGTTTTGTATGTTTATGGCATAAAGTATGGTATCAAGCATATGAGTTTAGCTCTACAATAATAAAGTACTTTATAATCCCATGCATAAGAGGACCTCATATGTTGAAATCAAACACATACCTTTTCTGTTTTGATGGCTTTCTACTTTCTGTTTGCTTATCTTTTACTCAAATGAAATATGTCTTTGAATGTGTGTTCAAATATATCTCAGTAACCTTATTCTAGGTAGCTCTGGTGGCGGTGGCTTAGCGGTAAGAAATTACACTACCAACACAAAGGGGCACAGTTCAAATCCACCAGCTACTCCACAGGAGAAGGATGGGTCGTTTCCTTCCATGGGATTAACTTGGCAGTGTGCAACAGCAACCACCTTACCATGGATTCCAAACAACTGACAAATATAACAATCTATCCTGTTTTCTAATACATTAAAACTTGTTGGTATCTGAATTATAGGATAGAAAGCAGTATTTCACTGGGAAAGTGCCCACTACCCATGCCATGATATCTGTACATTTGCTTACCTTTATTGCTTGATCTTAGAATACAACACTTATTTCTCAGTTTCTTATAGTGAGGGAGTGATTTTCATGTTTCTGCTTTTTATAGTTACATATGTATATGTTTATTGTTGTTGTTAGGGTCAAGAGTGACTCATTGTGACCCAATGAACAACAGATTTAAACTCTGACCTCTCTGTCCGGTGCCATCCTTATCAACTCTGACACTCTTGAGCCCACTGCTGCAGACACCATGTCAATCCAACTGATTGAGAGTCTTCTCTTTTGCTGATCCTTGCACTTTCCAAACATGTTGTCTTTCTCCAAGGAATAGCCCTTCTAACAATATGTCCAAACTGTTTGACTAGCTTTGTCTCTAAGAAGCACTACAATTAGACCTCCTCTAAGACATATCTACTTGATTTTTTTGGAAGGTCATGGAATATTCAGTACTCTTCTCTAACACCACAACTCAAAGACATTGATTCTTCTCCTGTCATCCGTATTATTTGTCTAGCTCTCAAATGTTATCGTGGTTATGTGCCATCGAGTTGCCTGTGACTCATAGCGACTCAATGGACAACAGCTTTGAGCCACCCCCACCATCTCCAACACACCAACCCCCACTACTCCAGTCACTGAGTCAGTCCATCTCAGCGAGGGTCTTCCACTCTGTGCTGTCCCTCCACCCTCCCAAGGATAATATCCCTCTCTAAGGACTGGTCTCTCCTTGAAACATGCCCAAAGTATGTCAGATGAAGCTTCAGAATCCTTGCCTCCAAAGAGTAGCCTGGTTTCACCCTCTGAAAGACAAACCTATTTGTTCTCTTAACAGTCCATGGTATTTCAATACTCTTTTCCAACACGCTAGCCCAAAGGCATCAATTCTCTTCTGTCATCCTTTGTCATTGTCCACCTTTCTGATGCATAACAAGTAATTGAACCATGACCTGGATCAAGCACACCTTAGTCTCCAGACTGACATCCTTGCTCTTCAGTACTCTGGAGATGTCCCTGACAGCAATTTGTCTCTTGATTTCTTGGCTGCTGGTACCAATAATGTTGATTGTGAAGCCAAGCAAACTAAAGCTGTTAACAATCTCAATCTCTTCACCATCCATCATGTTGCTTCTAATAGGTGCAGTGGTGAGAATGTTTCCTTGATGTTGAGCTTCAATTCATATTGAAGGCTGTAATCCCTGACCCTGTGCAGCAAGTGCTTCAGGTCCTCCTCAGTTTCTGCAAACAAGGTGTGGCATCTGTATAACGCAAGTTGTTGATGATTCTTCCTCCAATCCTGATGCCACCTTCCTCTTCATACAGCCCAGCATCCCAGATGATCTGTTCTGCATATAGATTGAAAAGGTTTGGAGACAGAATACATCACTGGTGGACACCCTTCCCAATTTTGAAACCATGCAATATTTCCTTACTCTGTTCTGATGACTGCCTCTTGGTCCAAGTATAGGTTTCACATAAGTACAATCAAGTGTTCTGTGATTCCCATTCTTCTCAGAGTTAGTCACAGTTTATTGTGATCCACACAGTCAAAAGCCAAGAAATCTGGAGGAAAACCACATGGCCAGCTGACTGGAAGAGATTTATATTTGTCCTCATTCCAAAGAAAGGTGACCCAACAAGTGTGGAAATTATTGAACAATGTCATTAATATCACACGCAAGCAAGATTCTGCTGAAAATTATCCAAAAACTACTCGAACAACTTATCAGTAGAGAACTGCCAAATGTGTGGGCTGGGTTTAGAAGAGGCCGTGGTACTAGGGATATTATAGCTAATGTTAGATGGATCTTAGCTGAAAGCAGAGAGTACCAGAGGAATGTCTGTTTCATTGACTATACAAGGCTCTCTTAGGCATAGCAAATAATTAAAAAGACCATGGCCTGGATCCACCATGCCTTAGTCTTCAAATTGACACCTTTGTTCCTCAATAATTTGAAGAGTTCCCTGACTTCAGGCTTTCTCAATGCAATACATCTCCTGGTCTCCTGATGGCTGGTACCAAGAGTGCTGATTGTAGATCCAAGTAAGATTAATTCATTGACAGTTTCAATCTTTTCTCCATTTAGCATCTTTACTACAGATTACTAGATTTCCCTTTTCTAACATAAGTTTTATTAATTCATTTTTTATCCAGAGAAAGCACAATGAAATAAATATTTTGTATAACTTTTTTATTGTTGTTGTTGTTGTGTGCCATCCAGTCACCTGTGACTCATAGTGACTCTATGTACAAAAGCCCTATACCCTGCTCTATCCCTTGCCAATCTTATTGTCTCTGACATGCCTATCCCCATTACTCAGTGACTGAATCGATCCATCTCATCGAGGGTCTTCCTCTCCTGCACTGTCCCTCGACTCTCCCAAACATGATGTCCTTCTCCAAGGACTGGTCTAGCATGGCAACATTTCCAAAGTATGTCACTTACGTCATCTGCATAACACAGATTGTTGATGTCTGTAACTTTTTTATTAGGGACCTAGTAACTTTTTTATTAGGGACCAAATTAAGAGGAGGGATCTTTTAAGTTTGATGTCTAGGAATTCAAAGCAGGAAACATTATTTTATCACTTAGCAGTCTGGTTTTAAAATGTAGTAAAAGAAGCTTTCTAAAAATAATGTAAGTATATTTTGCCATTTTTGTTTCTGTCTCTAGAAATACTCTTTCAGATTTATCCATTGGATAGAAGACATAGTTGAATTTTGAAATGTATTTTCAAATGTCATTTCTAACCATTCAGTGTAACTAAACAGAGAGTAGCTCAGCTCTGTGCCCTTCCAAAGGTCAAATAGTACAGTGTAAGAGCCTTGGTGTCAAACCAGTGCAGATCTGAGAAGTTTTCTGATATCCAAATTTTTTGTACTTAAACTTACTAAATAAATCACAACTTTCATTCCTCTTTCTGCTCACATTTTGGCCAGTAGAACTAGCTCCAACATTCCTGTGATGTGAGGGAAGTGCTGCTCTTCTGCTGGGGTATTTATTGCACTTTGCTGGACAGTTAGGCCTCAGTTCTAAATACTTCATAGATAGAAGGCAGAATGATATTCTAGTGTGCATTATTTCAGGCCATCTGAAGCTTATAAAAATACTTCAGATTTCTGAGAGACTAGTTTATTTACAAAATTCAAATACCATGTTTCCAAGACCCTCACCCCACCCCCAATCAAATTGTACAACCTCATGATTAATTCCTCCTCCCCCTGCATATCCTCATCTCTCTGCTTCCACCCTCTCCCACCCCTCTTGGATCCTTATACTCATTCTACAATAATGGTTTTATACAATATTTATCCTTGTAGTACTAAGTTACGCTGAGTGAACTAACTCAGACCCATAACCATTTTGATGGATTTTAATATGTGAGAGACAACCGATGTCAGTGAAATAAAAGTGACTTTGCTGATAGTACCTGAGACTGGATTTTCCCATTTTCAGATATTTTCCTGGCATCTACTAGAACCTCTAACTGTAGACTCATTTCCACTTAGTCAGAACTAACTCATAAGTGATTTTACAGTAAGTTGTCAGAGGCTGTAAATGGCATTGGGAGTGAAGGGAAAAGATTGTCCGTCTTTCTGTATTGAAGCAGCTGGTAGACTTGAATCATCTGCCTTTGGGTTGGCAGAACAACTCTCTATCACTAGGCTACCAGAGCTCCCTCCCAGAACTACTGTTATTGTTACTGTTATTATGTACCACCAACTTGTCCATGACTCATAGCTTCCCTTTAAAAAATGGATCTGAACGTTAACCAGTCCTGAGGCAGCCTCACCATCTGATCCCACTGCCACAGTCACTGTGTCCATTCCTCTCATCCAGGGTCTTCCTCGCTTGAGGTACCTCTCCACCCTTTTAAGCATGACATTTTTCTCCAAGGACTGGCCCCTCTTGACAACATTGCCAAAGTCCTTGAGATGGAGCTTCATAATCCTTACTTCCAGGGATCAACCTGATTTCTAAGACAGCCTGGTTTGTTCTCTTGGCAGTACAAAGTATGTTCAATACTCTTCTCTAGCACAACAACTCAAAGGCATCTATTCTTCTCCTGTCATCCTTAGTCATTGTCCACCTCTCAGATGCATATCAAGCAAATGAAAAGACCATGGCTTGGGCCAGGTCTTTAAGATGACTTATTTAGTACTCTAGAGACATCCTTGCCAGTAGATTTTCCCAGGGTAATACACCTCTTAATTTATTCACTGCTAGTACCATGAATATACAAGCTATGTTTAGAAGAGGCTGTGGCACTAGAAAAATTATTGTCAATGTCAGGTAAATCTTGGCTGATAGCAAAGAGTACCAGGGGAAT